AAAAAAGAAAAGGAAATACATACAAGCTAAGAGCGGAAACACATGCCTTTAATACCAGCACTTAGGAGGCATGGATCTCTGACAGTGTGAGGTCCATCTGGTCTACACAGTGAGTTCCAGGACAGCCAAAGAGAGACCCTGTCTCAAAAACTCAAAACAACATCAATATCAAAAAAGAAAATTAAAATTAAGAAAATAAAAATACATGGGTATACTGGCTGGTTTTGTGTGTCAACTTGACACAAGCCAGAGTCATCAGAGGAAGGAGTCTCAGTTGAGAAAAAGCCTCTCCGAGATCCAGCTGTAAGGCATTTTCTCATTTAGTGATCATTAAGGGAGGGCCCCGCCCATGGTGGGAGGTGTCATCCCTGGGCTGGTGGTCCTGGGTTCTATAAGCAGGCTGAGCAAGCCAGTAAGCAACTCTCCTCCATGACCTCTGCATCGGCTCCTGCCTCCGGGATCCTGCCCCACCTGAGTTCCTGTCCTGACTCCCTTCAGTGATGAACAGCAACATGGACATATAAACCAAATTAACCCTTTCCTCCCCAACTTGCTTTTTGGTCACGGTGTTTCACTGCAGCAACAGAAACCCTAAGACAATGGCCTGCTGGCTGTGGTAGTGTTTACCTGCAATCTCAGCACCCCGACGGCACAGGCCGAGGGATAACGGAAAGATTCAGGCCCATCAGGACTACAGTAAGACCCTTTCTCCACAGAACTAAAACAGGGCCAGAGATGGTTTAGAAAGTAAAGGCGGCGGCTGCTAAGCCAAACGGCCCAAATTTGATGTCCAAGACACACATGTTAGAAGGAGAAAATCAGCTCCCACAAAGTGTCCTCTGACCTTCACACAAAATCTGTGGTTTATGTGAATACCCCTCCAACACACACACACACACACACACACACACACACACACACGTTAAAAAATGAAATAACATGGTCAGCAGTGACGGTGCCTGCCTTTAATCCCAAGCACTCTGGAGGCAGAGGCAGGAGGATCTCTGTGAGTTCCAGGCCAGCCTGGTCTACAGAGTGAGTTCCAGGACATCCAGGACTGTTACATAGAGAACCTCTATCTCAAAAAAAGAAAAAGAAAAAAACCCCCAGGTCACAAAGATACAGATCTCTTAAAGGGGTTGACCCCAAGTTCCTGAGGAACATGCGCTTTGCCAAGAAGCACAAGAAAGGCCTGAAGAAGATGCAGGCAAACAATTCAAAGGCAATGGGTGCCCGTGCAGAGGCCACGAAGGCCCTGGGAAGCCCAAGGTGGTTAGGCACAAGATGCCGCAGGACCCCAATCGCAAACTCAGCCATCTTGCTTTCATTGCTCACCCCAAGCTTGGGAAGCGGATTAGAAGCTACGTGGCCAAGGGTTGTAGGCTCTGCCAACCAAAGCCCAAGGTTCAAACCAAGGCAGAGGCCACAGCTCCAGCTCGGGCTCCCAAAGGTACCCAGGCCCCTGTGAAGGCCCCACAGAAAAGGTTTCTGTCTGCCAGTGTGAAGACAGATAGACTGGTGTGATACACCTGCACACTATTTGCAGATGATCAGTGGCCTATTCTGTTTCTACAAATAAACTTGGGGCAAGATCTGTTAAAAAAAAAAAAAAAAGTACAAGGTGAGGCAGAGTAGACCAAGTGGTTATTTAGGGCTAGGACAAGACGATTGGGTTATTGGGGGTATTACTAGATCAAAGACCTTTAGAACATAAAGACATTCTAAAATTAATTGTCACGTTTACAGTATCGGAATTCATCAAAATGTTATTGATTAGTACACCTTTTTGAAATTTTTAGTTACATTTATTTATTTGTGTGAGGGAGGTACGTAAGCACCACAGCATACACGTCAGAGAATGGGTTCTCAACTTCTACCACATGGGTCTCAGGGACTGAAATCAGGCGTCATGTTCACACCACTTAGTCCTCCATACTGACCTACTCAGGTTCCAGGCACACACGCGGTAACCACATGTACACGTGCAGGCAAATGTTCATACTTGTAAAATAAATACATCTAAGAATTGGTAGGTAGGTGTAGTGGCATATCCCTGTATCCAAGAATTGTAGAGGTGGAGGCAGGAATAGTTGTTCCAAGCCAGCCTTGGCTACATGAAACCTGGCCTCAAGAAACACACACACACAAATAAACCAGAAAAAGCATGGGACTGGAGAGATGACTCAGTTGAAACTTGCAGAGGAACAAAGTTTAGTTTCTAGCACCCACTCCAGTTCTAGGGCACTCTTTCAACCTCCTTGGGCTTCTGCATACATGTGGTGCACATACAAACACTCAGTCACATACACATAAAATAAATATATACATATTAAAAAAAATTAAAACAACAAACCCCACCAAACCTTTGGTAAGCCAGAAGTGTGACAAAGACCTGTAATCCTAGCTACCAGGGAAGCTGAGGCAGGAGGATCACAAATTCAAGGCCTGCTTCAGCTGCAGAGCAAGATTAAGGCCAGTTTTTTTTTTTTTTCTTTTTTTAGCGACTTATCAAGACCTTGTCTCAAAAGTTAAAACAAATAAAATCATAAGAACAACAATAACAAACCTCTCAGTGACATGGATTGGCCAGGGTTCCCAGGTGGGATGGAATTACAATCCCAGAGACAGTTACCAGAGAAAATAGCTCCACAGTGCAGAGCTGCCTCCTGGAGAGACCAGTGCAAACTGGGGGTTTCAGAATAAACTGTGCCCTCAGCTAATTCCCCATTTTGAGCCCTCCCTTCTCACTAATGTAACCCATGTCGCCCATATTCTACTCAGCCAGCAAAGAGGCTCACAATCGGATCTGTCCTGTAGAGAGGGCACTGGCAATCCACATGAGGTCCAGGGCCTTGAAGGGTACCAACACGAAGCTGACATTGGCAGGCAGGTTCTTGGCACTCTCAGGGTACATGAAATGGTGGGTTGTTCGGCTGCCAACATCCTTCTCAAAGCCCACAGTTGGTGCCTGATTCATCCTGAAGAAAAAAAGAGGGTAATATGAAGAGGAACTACCAAGGAAAGTGGTACATGGGTTTTAGAGGATAATCTGGCACTCACCAAAAATGGAAATGGAAGCGGGACATGATGGCTCATGCCTATAATCCCAGCATTCAAGAAGCTTGAGGCAGGAGGATTACCATACATTTGAGGACATCCTGGGCTACAGTGATACCTGTCTCAAAAAAAATGTATAAAATGATGTACACTTTGACCAGGCAATGGTTGCTTAAGTAAAGATAAGACCATTCCATTAATCAAAGGACTGGTGGGTCCGTTTTGTCCATTCATCAACTGAATACCATTTATGTATCAGAGAAGAGGAAATTTTACATGCTGGCAACAAACCCAACACTATTCATCGAAACATCCAAGTGGTGGAAAGGACCCTGAGTCCTTTGTTCTTTTTTGAGACAGGATCTCATACAGCTCAGACTGGCCTTAAATTTACTATGGACCTAAGTTGGCCTTTAACTCCTGACCCCCCCGGCGTCTACCCTCCAGGTGCTGGGATTCCAGATGTGTACCACTAAGTCCGGGTAAGGCTCCCATTTTGGTGAACATCTTCCCCCACAGTTGAAATAGCTCTTAGCATGAGCTTGCAGGTCTTTGTTTTCTGCTGACTGTTTCTGTGGGCATTTCTGTCTCCTGAGGATGGAGAACTCTGCGGCATCATTACAGTAGGGTGGCCATAAGCTCTGCTCCTTCACTATGGCATGGGGACCCAGGGGGCAGGAACAGTCTCCAGGTGCCTCCCTAGCCTTCATGCCAGCTCTGTGAACCAGCACAAACGTCCCCTGTCAGAGGGGCTGACACCATGAGCTGGGTGTGGACTTCCTTTGCCACACACAGGGCACCTCTGCTGTTCGCCTCCTGCTTCTCTCCCAGCAGCAGAAGTGTCGGAGAAGGTAGGGAAGAATCCCAGTTGCCTGTGGATGATGGAAAAGGCAAGAAGCCATGGAGGCCGGGCTGGGCTGGTGCTGGGATCCAGACTGACCCTCGTGAGGACCTAAGAAGCAAACTTCATCTTACCAGAGACTAAAACACCAGAGCTCTGAAGACCAAAAGGGTGCGATTATCTCATCTGAGGGAAAAAGCTATGAAAGAAGGACAACTCGGGAGGAGGCAGCAGAGCGCTGGGGGTGGGGAAAGAGGAGCAAGAGAAAGCAACGGCAGCTGACTGTGACCAAAATAAATTACATACACGTAGGAAAGTATCGTGGGGAAACTTATTATTTTGTGTGATGGGGGCTACGGCTGCCCCAGGCTGGCTTCTAAAGGCCCACTGCCTGCTTTCTCCGCTGTACAGGAGCCAGAGGTCTCAAGAAGGCTCTCTTAGACCGAGTAGTGAGATCGTCTACTCCTCAGCCCTGTGCTTCCTTCACGCCACGCCAGGCCCCAGACAGCAAGGGACTGGGAATGAAGCTGCAAAATAACGTCCAAGATGATGTTTCATGGCCTCCACAGGAACGAGAAGAAACGTGGCACTCTTTTGGAGGCTGATTCATTCTAGATAAGTCATGCCCTGGAAAGGGGCCAGAGGATGACATGGATCTCTGGGACACGGAGCCACACATTCCAGAAACCTATCTGTTCCTCGCTGCCTTCAGCAGCCAAAGAAACGCTGGGCAGGGTGGATTCAACTTTACTTGGAGCACACGGTATCCGGCTCTCTCATCCCTTTCACTTACGCTTACAGCATGTCTTCTATCACCTGGCAAGGCTAGGAACTGGATGTATCTGCTGCCTACTGATGTGTCGGCAAGAGGAGATCCCCATTCCAGTCATCAACTAAGAGTAGAGAATTTACAGGCGGAGACAGTGGAGGTGCGAGGACACAGAGGAAGCTAGAGCTCTACCTCACTGCAGTGCTCTCCCTGATTCTGGGATGGAAGGCCTCCCTGGTTGGTTCCAAGCCAAGAGAGGTCTGCAAGCAGCCGCCTCTGCTGCCGTCTGGCTCATTATATAGACCCCAGACAGTCAACTACCATCCGGGTCACCCTTTCGACAAGGAAGTTCCAGGGCCCCCGCCAAACACCACATCTTGACCTTGCCTCATGTGAAGGAGGATCTGTGGATGTGTCCTGCAGCTAGGACACCCATGTCATAAGTAGCCACAGCTTTCGGAGCTGCAGGCTTTGACCCCTGGGGCTTCCCAATCATCACCCAGGAACCTAATGACAGAGTTGCCCAGAGCATCTGAGAGCGGCTTTGGACTTTTCAAGTACCCCAGGGGTGAAGGGAAGCAATGGAGCCTCAGTAGAGAGAGTTCTTTCACCCGCTTCCAGCTTCCCTCCCTTTAAAGTACCAGCAATGGACGATGAAGATAATCCAAGGGAGTTCTGGGTGGAACTCAGTATTCTCCTGTCTCCCTGTCCATCACCATTTCTCATCATCCAAAAAAAAAAAAAAAAAAAAAAAGGAAATCCTCAGAGACATATTGCTGTGTTGGTGTTGCTATGGAGACAGCAACAGTGTCTAAGACAAAGGCCTTCTGCCTCCTGGGAAATCTGGTCTTTCTGCAATGCTCATCCTAGGAGATGTTTAGTAGAAACCTGGCGTCTCAGCATGTTCTTTCTTTCTTTCTTTATTCATTCATTCATTCATTCATTCATTCATTCATTCATTCATTCATTCATTCATTCATCCCTGTGTGCGCCTCTACACACTTGGAGTTGACTAGAGGAGAGGCTAGAAGACGGGACTGTTCCTCTCCTGCTTTCTGCTTGATTTAGCTGCGTGTGCTTGTTTGTGTGGGGGTGTCCACATGCCGCGGTACACGTGTGGAGGTCAGAGAGCAGAGTCTGGGTGTCAGTCCTCATCTTTCCTCCTTGAGACGGGGTCTCCTGGCCTCTGTTCCGGCTGGGACAAGGGGTGCTCCAGTCTCTGCCCCTCAGCTCCCTTCAGGGGAGAAGCCTATGCTACAGCACCTGGCTCCCCTTATGGGCTCTGAGAATCCAAACTGAGGTGGTCAGGGTTGGCCAACAAGTGCCTTTATCTACTCAGCTACCTCCCCAGTTCTCACCTCAGTTTTTTAGACAGGGTTTCTCTGTGAAACTTGAACTTATCATTTTGGCTAGACTGACTGACCAGCAAGGCCCCCGGGGTCTACCAATCCCAATCCCACCAGCACTGCGGTACGGGTGCATGCTCTAATACCCAGCTTTGACATGGGTGTAATCATACCTGAACTCTGGTACGCATGTTTGTATAACAAGCACTTTATAACCCCAACCATCTCCCCAACCCTATTACATTTTTTTTTTTTTAATTTTATTTTTGGTTTTTCGAGACACAGTTTCTCTGTAGTTTTGGTGCCTGTCCTGGATCTTGCTCTGTAGTCCAGGCTGGCTTGGAACTCACAGAGATCCGCCTGGCTCTGCCTCCCAAGTGCTGGGATTAAAGGCGTGCGCCACCGATGCTCAGCTTTTACTTTTATTTTTGAGACAGAGACAGGGAAGGGCTCGTGTATCCCAGTTTGGCTTTGAACTTACTAGGTAGCCAAAGATGAACACGAACGTCTTTGTCCTTCTACCTCTATACAGGGGTGCCGCCATGCCTAGCTTACTCAGTGGGGCGGCTCAAACCCAGAGCCTTGGATGTCCTAGGCCAGCACTCTACCAACTATCAGTATCCCCAGCCTGGGGCTCTGGGGCTTTTCTGAGACAGGGTCTCACTATGTAGTCAAGGCTGTTTCAAACTCAGAGATTCACCTGTTTCTGCCTTCCGAGTGTTTGGATTAAAGGTGTGGGCTACTGTGCCTAGCTCTCACACGGTTTTTAAGCCAGGAATTTACTATGGCAGCCCAGTCAGGCTTGAACTTGGGCTCTTTAGCCTCAGCCTCCAGAAGGCTGAGATTCATAAACGTGTGCTACCATGCCCACCTCACCCTCTTAAAGATAAATTGATTTAGTGTACTGTGAGGACAGTAGAAATACCTCCTGCCAGTAACAGTTCTGTTAAAAATATTTGTTATTATTTTAAATTTTATTTGGGTGTGGGTGTGTGTGAGAGTGTACAGATGCTCATGGAAGCCAGCGGAGCCAGATGCCGTGGTACGGAGTCACTAGCAGGTGTGTCATGTGACGGGGGTACCAGGAACTGAACTTGGGTCCTCTGAGGAAGCGGTATGTATTCTTTTTTTTTTTTTTTTTTTTTTTTTTTTTTTTTTGGTTTTTCGAGACAGGGTTT